GTTATTTTTTAAGAACAGTGTATATTTAGAAAGAAATTGTTCTTTAAAAATAGTAGTCTTTGTAATGACATAAATAAAAAATATTCAAACGAGTTTTCATATGAAACGTTCTTATACATATGTATGTATGTATATTTGAAAATTTTTAACGTTACTATACCAAACTTTTGTAATTGGTAAAATTATTAAAAGTTTGATTTATGTGAAACTTATTATAAAAATTTATTTTAAAAAATCCGCCATGGAATGTGTCCAATTGTAGTATGGCTTAAATTGAATTGTATTTGCTTTAAAGATAAGTGTCTGTATCTTCGATGTATGCAAAGCACGTTTGCACTTATTTTGTACTATGAATTATACTGCAGAATTGTATATATGTATATCAAAGTGTCAAAATTCTTAATTGAATGCATTTATAATTATACAGAATTCGTGATATACGTTTGAGGTTAACAAAAATTGGAAAAGCGGACTGTCGAGCCGTTGCATCACGTTCGTAGGTGAAGGATATTAATATATGCTTCGGTATGAAGACAATTTTATTATGCCCAGGGAACTAGTTATGAGGGCAAATACCAACACGATCTTCGGCAAATCGACGACATTTTTACTCATTCCTCTTGAAACCGAGTTTCTTCAAGAGAACAATGAGCATATATATTATAATGATTTATAGCAAATATTACATAGTGCTTTTATATAATTTCTGTTTTATCTTATTAGGCAAAGAAAAAAAAAATAATGAGTTTTATTATTTGCACAAACATAAATATAGTTTGTAAATAGATAAATTAAAACGTAAAGAAGCATAAGATGAATCATTCTCTAAATGAAAAATTGCGTTTTTACGTTTTGTATTACAGTATAATGAGAATTCTTCAAATTTTTCACTTCTAATAATAGTTATTGTAAATTAGATCATAATTGCATGTAGAAAGTAGTTTAAAATTGATACTTGTAATAAATTTTTAATGGGTTTAACAATACTAATAATTTGTGTTTATTTATTTCTCCCATACACACCACATCCACTTACTTTTGCAAAAAATTAATTTGGTAAATAATATGCTATTATAAAATGAAATAGACTAAGTCCGGAAAATGTGAGGAACGCGTAAAAATTGAAAAGATCGTAAGAATCTCGAAATTCGAGCGAAAAACTTGCGCGAAAATAGTGTCGAGAATGTTTGAGAAATGGCTGTACCCCATCTGTAATTCTAAAGTAGTGAAACTTTATAATTTTTCATATTTGTTTTATTTCAATATGTAATAGAGCATTTGAGTGGTTAATGTAGTTTTTTTTATTCATTTGTGTGATTAATTTTTGTGTAATTCTTGCTGGAAGATGATGATGTATCATCAGTGTGTTGTGCTGACCACGAAGGATAACTCGTCGAAGTACATAATAGCAGTAAAAAAACGAGTTAGATAAGGATATCAATAGTACCGTGTGTTAGACAAGAAAATCAATACGGATAAACAAGGACAGAAAAAAAGAGGGGTGAGACTAACGCCATCTAGCGTCAGGTGACTCGAACTACGATTTCTTAATAGGAATACAGGATATAAACGGAGGTATTAGACAAGGAAAGCACTAGTGTGCGAGAAGGACAGAGAGAGAACGCTTCTTATTGGCTGGCGGGTCGCCATGCTCGACCTCTCAGGCCCAAAGACAAGTCGGCCGGTGAAAAATCATTAATAACTCAATATTTACAATGATTTTGTGAACTTTTAGAATTGAAGAATGAAGTGTGGACCTTCAGTAACTTTCACATATAGTTTTTAGTGCTCTAAACCCTTTCAATAATTAGTTATTAATAATTTTAGTACGTGATGTCGGCAGCGATACCGCACATCATTCTGGTTTTTCATTAATTTCGTTGCTTTATAGAAATAATTTATCCACTTTCATATATGTATTCGAAAGGATATTCCTTCAGCTAGTTTCTCGAATAATTTTTATTAACATTGCTACAGTAGTTTACGAGTTATTAGACATTATATGAGAGATTCCTCCGACTTCCGGGTGCTAAATCATGTCGGCCGGTGAATATTCATTAAGAACTCATTACATACGATAAATTTATGAACTTTTAGAATTGAAGAATGTAGTATGAACCTCTAGCAATTTCCACATATAGTTTTTATTGTCCTATATCCTTTCAGTAATTAGTTATTAACAATTATAGTGCGGAATGTCGGCAGCGATACCGCACATCATTCTGGTTTTTCATTAATTTCGTTGCTTTATAGAAATAATTTATGGACGTTCATACATGTATTTGAAAGGATATTCCTTTAGCTAGATTCTCGAATAATTCTTATTAACATTGCTGCAATAGTTTACGAATTAGTAGATATTATATGAGAGATTCCTCCGACTTCCAGGTGCTAAATCATGTCAGCCGGCGAAAAATCATTAATAACTCAATAATTAGGATGAATTTGTGAACTTTTAGTATTGAGGAATAAAGTGTGGACCTTCAGCAACTTTCACATATAGTTTTTAGTGCTCTAAACCCTTTCAATAATTAGTTATTAATAATTTTAGTACGTGATGTCGGCAGCGATACCGCACATCATTCTGGTTTTTCATTAATTTCGTTGCTTTATAGAAATAATTTATGCACATTCATACATGTATTCGAAAGGATATTCCTTTAGCTAGATTCTCGAATAATTTTTATTAACATTGTTGCAGTAGTTTACGAGTTATTAGACATTATATGAGAGATTCCTCCGACTCCCGGGTGCTAAATCATGTCGGCCGGTGAATATTCATTAAGAACTCATTATACACGATAAATTTATGCACTTTTAGAATTGAAGAATGTAGTATGAACCTCTAGCAACTTTCCCATGTAGGTTTCAAGACCCTAAGTCTTTTGAATAATTAGTTATTAATAATTGTTCTGCGAAATGTCGGAACGATACGAGGGTTCCTTACGGTTTTTCATTAATATGATTGTTTATTATCAATTTCCTGTACAATTTTTACATGCATCCAGAAGGGAACATCTTGGGCTATATTCTCATATAATTTTTATTAATATATACTATGTAGTTTGATAGTTATTGAACATTATTCGGGGGTATGCTGCACTCGCCGAATTCAAGCGTAACGCTTTTCTGACAATTTAATGGAATTTCATGGAATTAGACGATATATTCTGTACTTTCAAGCTTGTAGAATGTAGCACGGACTTTCCTTTATATTCTGCAATAATTTTAGTAGCTATAAGTAATGTGGTTTATTAGATATTAGCAATTGTTTATAACATTTGACTGTACTCGAGTACTATGAATATGGGACTCTTTCATGTAATATTTAATAACTCCTAAACTAAACCGAATATGTTAATAAAAATTATATGAGAATGTAGCCAAAAGAGTTGCGTTTCAGGTGCGTGTAGTTAGTTGCACGAGAATTTAGCAGAAAGCTGTGAAATAATTGAAAAACCGTAAAGGTGCTTGACGGTATGCGGTATCGTTCCCGACATCACGTACTAAAATTATTAATAACTAATTATTGAAAGGGTTTAGAGCACTAAAAACTATATGTGAAAGTTGCTGAAGGTCCACACTTCATTCTTCAATTCTAAAAGTTCACAAAATCACTGTAAATATTGAGTTATTAATGATTTTTCACCGGCCGACTTGTCTTTGGGCCGGAGAGGTCGAGCATGGCGGCCCGCCAGCCAATAGGAAGCGTTCTCTCTCTGTCCTTCTCGCACACTAGTGCTTTCCTTGTCTAATACCTCTGTTTATATCCTGTGTTCCTATTAAGAAATCGTAGTTCGAGTCACCTGACGCTAGATGGCGTTAGTTTTAGATTTCAAATTTTCCGTCCTTGTCTATCCATATTGCTTTCCTTGTCTAACACACGGTCCTATCGCTATCCTTGTCTGCCGCTATTTCTTTCCTTATCTAACTCGTTTCGCTAGTGCTATCCTCGTCATCTCTATTATATATAATTGATACTTCTAATCAATTCTTAATTCTTTTGACATTACTAATAATATAAATAATAAAATACAGTTTCTGACTTATTTTCAAGTACTTCAATTATAGAATAATTAGTGTTTCT